TAAATATATCCTATATATAATAATTGTTGGACAAATCTGAATAGGCAAATAAATTGGCTCATTAAACCGTTGTTTGACAATAAATATTTGTTTTTCTTTTTTCTATTTTTAGTATAAATCTACACGAGTTTATCTCTTTTGTTGTTACAAAATCTCATTGCATACGTCTCACGTGTTTAAAAAATCTCATCCCTTATCTATACAGATTTGAAAAAATAAAATAAAATAGAAACCAATTCATAATTACTATTAGAAATCCATTATCTTTAAAAAGAAAAAAATACAATAAAATAGAAACCAATTCATAATTACTACTAGAAATCCATTAACTACTTTAAGAAGTTAATTTTCATCGGTCTAATTACTAATATTTTTACAAATATTATAAGCTAATCATACAAAAAAGTATAATAATAATTTTGAAATGGTGTGTAATCAATTTTTTTTTTATATTCTCTTATATATAATAATTTTACATTGTTTGACCCGGAATCTTTAATTTATAATTATTAAGTATTGTTTATCCTCCTCTTTAATTTATAATTATTATTTTTTCTTCCTCTTTTTAAATAGGATCAATAGTAGTTTCCACTTCCGCCATTTAGTGACTCAAACTCGAAGTCTATTTATAATATTATTAATTTAATATTGTTCCCGTGCATCGCACGGGGTACACACTAGTTGAGCATAGTTCTAATAAATCAATATGAATATTTCACCCGTGATATAAAAGTATACATACCACAAATGAAATGAACCTTTTACCTTGAGGTCCACCTTTCAAACGTAAAATTTAGCCATTAATTCAACGACCCGAATGAATCACCTACAGCAACCAAAGGTCAATAAAATGGGACCGATGATAGAATCGGTTATGGTTCACTTTTGGATGAATGGTTGACCCCAATTCATTTAATTTATATATAGCACTTCAAAAAATAATATTAATTAATTACCTAGATAATTTATAATATTCATCTATCAAAATTAGCCGATGTAATAATTTTTATATATATATATATTCAATAAATTTAAATATGTATATTTATTTAGATTAAAAATACTTAAAATAAATAAACCTAATAAAAAAAATTTAACCTGACCCATCAGGTTTTGGCTAAGGGCATCTTTATCAAGAGGTTTATGGTTTTGCTATACTAAAAAACTAGTACAGTACTCGTGCGATGCACGGGAGTTTATTATCTATGTCCCTTTTAAAAAACAATTTTAAGTTAAAATTTTAAGTACTTACTAAAGGAAAGACCATGTCATTAATAAATTAATAAATATAATGAAAATAAAATATATATCTTATTGAACATTGTCTTATATACAACGTTCATGGTTTGATTCTTTGGCACGTCATCGTCGCCACAAATTAGGATTTTCAAACCATTTCTGTTTGTGACACGAGAGACAACAGCATACAATTGGCCCCAAACCGTGCAGTTCTTTATGTTTTCCTTACACAATGTCCAAGAGGTTTTTAAAGGGCATATTATGAGTTGCGAAAATAAATTTTAAACATTGATATTTTAATTTGTTTTACGATATTACATGCGTAAAACATTAAAATCGAAATATAGTAGAAAAAAATCATATAAACATTAGAATATAAAATATGAATATATAATGCTAAAGATTCTTACTCCAAATCCATAATTAGGGAATACAATCATTTGGTAGGAACTCCCTCGACAGCCTTCATTTGAATAGGTGGTATTGAAACAACCAATCCAATAACATCTATAAAATATAAGACAATGCATCATATTGAAACGTATATTGTATAATATAGTATATTAAAGATTTTAACTTAAAAGAATCGAAATAAGAAATAAACAAAAAATTATAAGGTACCAAACAACATGGTTTCATCAACATTATGAACATCCATTAAAGTTAGAAAGTTCCTAAAGTCAAAACGATACATAGGAAATTCACCCCTCCATTTGAGAATGTTGGTTCGGCCATTGATAATGATCCTCCAATTACCTATCGTAGATTTATAGATGCCAATATTATTTGATATCCATGATTACTCCAAAATCTAATGTCATTTTGAATGTATACGAAAAAACTTGTGAAAAAAAAAAAATATTTTTTGTGGGATGTATTGGTTGTAGAATATTTTTTGTTCAATGTTGGTGATGGTTATACAGACATTTGTGTATGTGACATATGCCCTGCACCGAAATTTAAAATTGAATTACGTCAGGTTTTTAAGTTGAGTATGATTTATTTTCCTAAATAATATGATTACGATCGGCTTCACAAAATATGTTTAACCATTTTTGTAAAAAAAAAAAATAATAAAAAAAAAATATACAGAAACAAAAAATGTGGAATTTGTTACATGTGTCTCGGATTTTGTCGATTATTAAAGTTTATGTGTCATATCAATGTAACATAATGTTTACCAGAATTAATGGAGTTTGTTACAATTTAATTTTGTAAGGCTTTTTGGATTGATTGAAAAATAATATTTTACCAAAATCCGAGATTTGTCATCCAAATCCGATCAAATTTGTTACCAAAATCTGATTAAATTGGTTAACATGTGGGGCTCATTGATATTGCTTATATTAGTAAGTCAACAATTAATTTTTTATTTTGAAGATTATGTGTTATATCAATGTGACATAATGTTTACCAAAATTAATTGTGTTTGTTACAATTTAATTTGGTAAGACTTTTTGGATTGATTGAAAAATAATATTTTTACTTTGATATGTATCATTTATCAAATCTCGAGATTTTTCTGCAAAATTTAACTCCAAACAATCCGAAAAATTTGTGAAATATGTTACCATAAGAAATCCCAAAGATTATCGACAATATAGAATGTGTAAATAACTATGAAGTGTTACCAAAAAAACTGATATTTTAATATTTGTTATCAAAATCCGAGATTTGTCATCACAATCAGATCAAATTTGTTAACAAAATTCGAGATTTGTTATCAAAATAAGATCAAATTTGTTACCAAGATCCGAGACTTGTTATCAAAATCCGAACAAATTTGTTACCAAAATCCGATTAAATTGGTTCACATGTGGGACCCATTGACAATGCTTATATTAGTAAGTCAACAATTAATTGTTTATTTTGAAGATTATGTGTCATATCAATGTGACATAATGTTTACCAAAATTAATGGAGTTTGTTAAAATTTAATTTGGTAAGACTTTTTGGATTGATTGAAAATTAATATTTTTATTTTGACATGTATCATTTATCAAATCTCGAGATTTTTTCTGCAATATTTAACTCCCAACAATCTGAAAAAAATTGTGAAATTTGTTATCAAATGAAATCCCAAAGATTATCTGCAATATATTATGTGTAAATTATATGAAGTGTGTTACCAAAAAAATCGATATTTTGAAAGATTTGTTATCAAAATTCGATATTTGTTATAACAATCAGATCAAATCTGTTAACAAAATCGGAGATTTGTTATCAAAATAAGATCAAATTTCTTATTAAAATCCGAGATTTATTATCACAATTCGATCAAACTTGTTATCAAAATCCGATTAAATTGGTTTACATGTGGGGCCCATTAATATTGCTTATATTAGTAAGTCAACAATTAATTTTTTATTTTGAAGATTATGTGTTATATCAATGTGACATAATTTTTACCAAAATTAATGGTGTTTGTTACAATTTAATTTGGTAAGGCCTTTTGGATTGATTGAAAAATAATATTTTTATTTTGATATGTACCTCGAGATATTTCTGCAATATTTAACTCCAAACAATCCGAAAAAATTGTGAAATATGTTACCATAAGAAATCCCATCAGGTTAAAAATCCAGAAATATATATATATATATATTTAACTCCAAACAATCCGAAAAAATTGTGAAACATATATATATATATATATAATATTAATTAATTACCTAGATAATTTATAATATTCATATATCAAAATTAGCCGATGTAATAATTTATATATATATATTCAATAAATTTAAATATGTATATTTATTTAGATTAAAAATACTTAAAATAAATAAGCCTAATAAAAAAAATTTAATCTGACCCATCAGGTTTTGGCTAAGGGCATCTTTATCAAGAGGTTTATGGTTTTGCTATACTAAAAAATGAGGTTTAAGGTTTACAAATGTAAACCAGGTTTACATTCTTAAACATCATATAATCTCAATAAAAAATATTAAAATTAGAGGAGTTGTAATTTAAAAATATTAATAAAATTAGAAAATTATAATATTAATTAAAAATAAGTGAAAACATGTGGAACCATAAAAAATGAAGTTTATGAATGTAAGAATAAGAATGAGGTTTTGAACGATGTATCATGTAGAAAAGTGTAAAATGAGGTTTATAAAAATACTCTAATTCGACTAGCAATTAATCTGTTTGTACTCCAATGAATCATACCAATCACTTTGACCAATTACCAATCAATCTCTCTTGCATTTTTTTTTTTAAACACAACTATTATTAAGCAACTCGACTCGATATAATTTTTTTAACAACATTAAATATTTATACTGTGAAATATTATTTTTTCTAGTTATGGTGTCTTTTAAAATGTGAAAATTTTATATATACATATTGTTAACATTGTTAACAAAAAACATAGGCAAAATTGCATATTAATACATCACTTTTCATGTTTTTGCAATTTAATCACCACCTTTACAATTTTATAAATTAATACATCACTTTTACCATTTTTGCAAATCGATACATGACTGACGGTTCCGTTAACGAAAATCTGACATGGCATTGACGTGGTTCAATGTCATATCAGATTTTCGTTAGATTTTTTAACAGAACTGTCATTTATATATCGATTTGCAAAAATGGTAAAAATAAATATTAATTTGCAAAATTGTAAATGTTATGATTAAAATGTAAAAAAATAAAATATGATGCACTAATATGCAATTTTGCCAAAATTATATATATAACGGGGTTAGATCCGAAAATAGATTTAAATTGCCGATGAAGCATAACAGATAGCCATTCATCCCGATCCATCGTTTCGTTCACATTGGACATCTCGAGGTCCACCGTTGATGCTTACCGCGAAATATAAAATATAAAAATTGCAAATAGCACCCCACGTCTCCCTTCCTTTCCCAATACCACCCCATAAATAGGCAAACACCTCTTGTTGAGACCCCATATCTTTATATATACCTGGGCTACCTTCTACAAGCTCCTCCAGCTCACACTCTCCCCTTACTAGAAAAAATAAAAATATAACACCACAATCAACAAAAAATTCCGTTTAACTCCTCTCCCTATCATCGTCAATCCCACATTACATTCGCAATCCAATGGAACAGTTCCCGACAATCGACCTATCAGAGCCCGACAGCTCCATGTTGCGGCTCGTCGAGGCCTGCGAGGATCTCGGCTTCTTCAAGGTCGTCAACCACGGCGTCCCGCCGGAGCTTATCGAGCGGCTCGAGTCGGAGGCCGTCCGCTTCTTCTCCCTACCCCGCTCGGCCAAGGACAAGGTGGGCCCGCCCCGGCCCGGCCCGTTCGGCTACGGGAACAGGAGCATCGGCTGCAACGGCGACGTCGGCCGGGTCGAGTACCTCCTCATGACCGCCGACGCCGATTCCGACTACCGGAAGTTCGCCTCCGTTTTCGGCGGAGCCGCCGCCGACGGATTCCGGCGTGCGGTGGACGATTATCTGTCGGCGGTGAAGAAGATGGCGTGCGAGATTCTGGAGGTGTTGGCCGACGGGTTGAAAGTCCAGCCGAGGGAGGCTTTCAGCAAGCTGCTCAAGGACGAGGAGAGCGACTCGGTTTTCCGGCTGAACCGGTATCCGCCGTGCAACGGTGCTGGAGAGTCCGACCCGATTGGGTTCGGGGCGCACACCGACCCGCAGATAATATCGGTTCTGAGGTCCAACGACGCCGGCGGGCTCCAAATCGTGGGGAGGGACGGCGAGTGGGTCTCCGTACCGCCGGATCGGAATTGTTTTTTCATTAATGTGGGCGACTCGTTGCAGGTACAACAACTTTCTCCTTTTTCCCGCCGTCAATTTTTCTTTCTTTTTTTTATTCCAACTTATCACGTGGGTGAACTGAAGGTGAAGTAATTTTGGCTCAAGTGCTTTTCCTTAAAAATATCTTTGGGCTTCCATTTATGTTTGAAAATTGTTATGTTTAGGAAATTAATTATTGTTATAGCAAATGCTGGTTTTTAGGATGATTCTAGAATTTGGGCAATTTTAAGGCGTATGTTTAGGACACTGATTGCAATTGAATGTTGATGCTGATCGCTTTTGATTAATTTCTTAACAAACCTAATTAGTTCGTTATATTTTGAGGGATGATTTCCAATTTTAGTATCTCACCAAGGTATCACATATGTAATAATTCTAAATAAATGACTTGAGTTAGAAAATGAAATTTTTTAAGCTTATATTATTGCTTGTACAAACCCAATTATTGCCTATTTATGGCATATTTTCGGTAAATTATTGTGATACTGCATTAGCATAGAGTTGTGTGCATATGGCTATCCAGTGATGCAAGTATAAACCGCCTCAAGTAATTTTCGGTGGTTATGGGCATGATGTGAGGTTTGCTAGATTTGACTAAGGATTATTTTCAGTTAGATGTTGACTTATGAGCCCATAACTTCATCGTGGTTTCATGCACACCGTTTTCTCATTGAATTTTCCCCTTCTTTAATGAGGATGGTTAGTTGAATCTTCCTAGATTTCATTCCTCCTCAATAAAGCTTCGTTGCGTCACTATCGAGTAATTAGTGCTTGGAGAGAGAGAAAAGTACTTAACCATTTAAACTTTTAAATAAATTGACCTACTTTACTGTAGACAAGCTCACAACATAAAGATACACATTTACAAAATATTGTTTATTTTAGCAACTCACGCGAGTGTTTATGTTTATATATTTTTTCAATTCATATTCAATTTATATTTAAAATCTAACTCAACATTAATTCAATTTTAATATCATCAATCAATATAATTAAATAATATCAGTCTATTATTCTTACACACTAATAATCAACTTGTGCATTTGAACAGAAAAGAATACTTTAAAAAGATAACAATATTTAAAAAAAAATAAAAATAAATCATAATTTAATTCATAAAAAAAAAATATGAATTAAGAAAATAATTTTCAAAATTGATTTTGATCAAGTAATTGCTATGGAAGAGCTGTTACAACCATTTTCTTTATGCTAATACACCCGACCATTTTCATGAGTGGGTGACTTAAAATTTAAGTACAAGTCTTGATTGGTTTATGCTCATAATTTATGGCATTCAAACAAGTTATTTTGTAACCTAAAAATGAAATTGAATGCTGAAACTTTTGGAGGGAGAATAAAATTTAATGCATTACAATAAAATTAAATGTTTTGTTGCTCCTCTTTATATATATATATAGATTTTATCAACTTTAATTCACTCATATAGTTTTAACTAATTATCACTTCGTTGCATCTCTCTTCTATTTTACATCAAAATATCAACTTTAATTATTTTATTTTAAAAATAATTTTAATATATACTCAAAATCCTATTTTAAATATTTTTTTAATATAAACTTAAAATCCTACTAACAAATAATTATATTATTTTTTAAAATTAACTTTAATTAATCAAAAACCTCGTTTTGAGTGGATATATTTGTATCCAAACACGTCGACAATATGTAACCCTCATAGATTTAATTCATTATTCCAAATTTAATTTTTTGGTTTCGAAATTAATTGAATTGGAATGGGACAGGTTATGACCAACGGAAGGTTCAAGAGCGTGAGGCATAGGGTCGTGGCCAACAGCCCCGAAGCAAGGCTCTCCATGATTTATTTCGGAGGACCACCGCTGAGTGAAAAGATAGCCCCATTGCCTTCACTATTAATCAAAGACGAGGACAGTTTGTACAAGGAGTTTACATGGTTTGACTACAAAAAATCCGCTTACAATACGAGGCTGGCTGATAATAGGTTGGGCCTTTTCGAGAAAATTGCTGCCTCATAATAATATGATCCTTTTGAGTGTCACAATTTTTAGCAGCTCGATCAAGATTTTTGTTGTGTGTTTGCCTGTGTCAAATTTNTTTTTTAATCATAGTTTCTTTTAATTAATTGTATTTTTTGTCCATTTTTTCCATAGAATAATGACTAGAATTGATTAATTTTGTTTTGTGTTCGGCCTACACCGAATTTGTTGGTGAAACGAGTTTGAAGAGGATTACCACCGATTAAGCGATCATTTTATCATGCTAACTAGTTATAAAATTGATTAAAAAAAACTAGGTATAAAAATGATTTAATTTGACAACGTTTGGAGTATGATGAAATACTAGTAGTTCCAGAAAATGATCGATTGTCACATAATCTATACTTATATAATAAGAATTAACATTTATCCAAAATAGTAGGTCAAATTATGGTCAATGTCGGATTTGCATTAAGTATTTTCCAAAACTGGTAAGTTTTTGTCCTTTTCACACTTCTCATTAATTATGTCCTTTTTCACACTTCTTATTAATTATGTCCTTTTCACACTCTCATTAATTATGTTCTTTTCACACTTCTCATTAATTATATCATTTTCACACATCTAATTAATTCATTAATTACAACATAATTATCATAAAACATTTCATCTGAGCTTTTATCGTTAAAATGTATAGCAATCTGTTATGACCTTATCTCATTGATATTTCCATGAAGCGTCCTTATCGCGTTCTATTTTTTGTTAACCAATCTATATCAATAACCGGATATTTGGTTAATGATAGCACACGTCTTTATTTCAAGGAGCGGATATTCTTTGACCTTTAATTAATCTGAACTGATTGCCTTGACTTTTCAATTTTTAAAAACTCTTTTTTTAAATATTTCGGCTTAAGATTTGGATTTCATTATACAAGTCATCGGATTGTTTGAATGAAAATGAATGAAAAGAACACAAAAAACAGGTAGCCTTATTCATATAACCAATCCTAAAATATTAGTTTGTTCACCAAAAANANNAGNNNGA